ACAACACCACCACCAATAACAACACCCACCACCACTAAAGAATTAACACCACCACCACCAGTAAGAAGAAACACCATCACCAGTAAGAAAACAACACCACCACTAATAACAACACCACCACCACTAATAACAACACCACCACCACCACCAAATAAACACCACCACCACTAACAACAACACCACCACCGCTAAGAACAACAACACCACCACTAAGAAACAACAACACCATCACCGCCAAAAACACCACCACCACTGAACAGAACAACAACACCACCACCATCTAAGAACAACACCACCACCACCAACAACACCACACCACAACCAAGAGCACAACACCACCCCCACCAAGAACAACACCACCACCTAAGGAACAACAACCACCACAACACAACACCACCAATATGAACAGCAGCACCAACACCAAGAACACCACCACCACTAAGAACAACACCACCACCAACAATCACCACCAAACATCCAATCAATCATCAATCGAACAACACCACCACCACCACCCACTAAGAACAACACCACCACCACTAAGAAACACCACACCACAACAAGAACAACACCACCACCACTAAGAACAACACCACCATCAAGAACAACACCACACCACCACTACCAGAACAACACAACACCACCAACAACACCACCAATATGAACACAACCACCACTAAGAACACCACCACCACTAAGAACAACACCACCACCAATAAGAACAAACACCACCACCACAAAGAACAACAACACCAGAACAACAACACCACCAATATGAACAACAGCACACCACAAGAACAACAACACCACCCCACTAAGAACAACACCCACCACCAATATGAACAGCAGCACCAACACTAAGAACACCACCACCACTAAGAATAACACCACCACCAATAAGAACAACACCACCAACACTAAGAACAACACCACCACCACCAACAACAACACCACCACCAACAACAACACCACCACCACTAAGAACAACACCACCACCAATATAAGAACAACACCACACCACAACAAAAACACCACCACCACTAACAACAACAACAACATCACCAGAACACCACCACCACTAACAACCACTAGAACAACACCACCATCAACACCACCAACACTAAGAACACCACCACCACTAAGAACAACACCACCACCACTAAGAACAACACCACCACCACTAAGAACAATAAGAACAACACCACCACCACTAAGAACAACGACCACCACTAAGAACAACACCACCATTACAACACTACCAAGAACAACACCACCACAAGAAACAACACCACTAAGAACAACACCACCAACTAAGAACAACACCACCACCACAACTAAGAACAACACCACCACTAAGAACAACACTACTAACAACAACAACATCACCACTAAGAACAACACACCCAATATGAACAACAGCACCACCACTAAGAACAACACCACCACTAAGAACAACCACCACCAATGAACACAACCACTAAGAACAACACCACACAACACCACCATCACTAAGAACAACACCACCACCTAAGAACAACACCACCACCACTAAGAACAACTAAGAACAACACCACCATAAGAACAACCACCACCACCACAATAAGAACAACACCACCACCAATAAGAACAACACCACCACCACTAAGAACAACACCACCACCACAACACCAGACCACCACACAACACCACCACTAAGAACAACACCACCACCACTAAGAACAACACCACCACCAATAAGAACAACACCAGAACAACACCACCACCACTAAGAACAACACCACCACCAAGAACAACGCCACCACTACTAACAACAACAACATCACCACTAAGAACAACACCACCACCAATATGAACAACAGCACCACCACTAAGAACAACACCACCACCACTAAGAACAACACCACCACCACTAAGAACAACACCACCACCAATAAGAACAACACTGCATCACTAAGAACACCACCATCACTAAGAACAACACCACCACTAAGAACAACACCACCACCACAAGAACAACACCACCACCACTAAAACGGAACAACACCACCACACTAAGAACAACCACCACCAACACTAAGAACAACACACCACCACTAAGAACAACACCACCACTAAGAACAACACCACCAATAAGAACAACACCACCACCAATAAGAACAACACCACCACCACTAAGAACAACACCAACACACCACCATAAGAACAACACCATCACTAAGAACACCACAAGAACAACACCACCACCAATAAGAACAACACCACCAATAAGAACAACACCACCATCAATAAGAACAACACACCACCACTAAGAACAACACCACCACCAATAGAACAACACACCACCACTAAGAACAACACCACCACCACCAAAACAAACACCAATAAGAACAACACCACCACCACTAAGAACAACACCACCAGAACAACACCACCACCACACCACCACCTAAGAACACCACCACTAAGAACAACACCACCACCAATAAGAACAACACCACCACCAATGAACAACAGGAAGAACAACACCACCACCACTAAGAACAACACCACCACCAATAAGAACAACACCACCACTAAGAACACACACCACCACCACCAATAAGAACATAACACCACCACTAAGAACAATAACACCACCACCAAAGAACAACACCACCACTAAGAACAACACCACCACCAATAAGAACAACAACACCACCACCACTAACAACAACACCACCACTAAGAACACCACCAACACTAAGAACAACACCACCACCATTAAGAACAACACCACCAACACTAAGAACAACACCACCAACACTAAGAATAACACCACCACCACCACTAAGAACAACACCACCATCACCACCAAAACACCACCACATCACCACCATCACTAAGAACAACAAAACAACACCACACCACAACACCACCACCACCAAGAACAACACCACAACCACCACCACTAAGAACAATAACACCACCACTAAGAACTATAACACCACCACTAAGAACAATAACACCACCACTAAGAACTATAACACCACCACTAAGAACAATAACACCACCACTAAGAACTATAACACCACCACTAAGAACAATAACACCACCACTAAGAACTATAACACCACCACTAAGAACAATAACACCACCACTAAGAACTATAACACCACCACTAAGAACAATAACACCACCACTAAGAACAACACCAGTGGGAAGAACAACATCAGAGAAAGAACAACGTCAGGAGGAATAATAACATCAAAAGGAAGAGCAACAAGAAGAGGAAAAACAACGTTAGGAGGAAGAAGAACATCAGGATGAAGAACATCAGGAGGCGGATCAATATCAGGAGGAAGAACAACATTATGAGAAAGAATAATATCATAAAAAGAACAATAACACTAGAAATAATTATAACTCCATAAACAGACGACTGAAGAACATTTTGGTGGATGAGAGAACAGTTGTGTTGGTAGATATAGACAGGCGTGTTGGGGTAGACGGGTGTGTTGAGGTAGACGAGCGTGTTGTGGTAGACGGGCGTGTTGGGGTAGACGGGCGTGTTGGGGTAGACGGGCGTGTTGGGGTAGACGGGCGTGTTGGGGTAGAACGGGCGTGTTGGGGTAGACGGAGCGCGTGTGGGGTAGACGGCACGTGTTGGGGTAGACGGGCGTGTTGGGGTGGGGGCGTGTTGGGGTGGGGGCGTGTTGGGGTAGACGGGCGATTGGGGTGGTAGCGGGCGTGTTGGGGTAGACAGGCGTGTTGGGTAGACGGGCGTGTTGGGGTAAGTAGACGGCGTTAGGAGAGGTAGACAGAGCGTGTTGGGTAGAGACGGGCGTGTTGGGGTAGACGCGGGCGTGTTGAGGTAGACGGGCGTGTGGGGGTAGACGGGCGTCTGTGGTAGACGGCGTGTTGGTCTTGTGGTAGACGGCGTGTTGAGGTAGACTCGGGCGTGTTGGGGTAGACTCGGCGTGTTGGGGTAGACGGGCGTGTTGGGGGTAGACTGGGGTGTTAGGTTCTAGGCGTGGGGTAGACCAGGCGTGTTGGGTAGACTGGGCGTGTTGGGTGTAGACTCGGGCGTGCAGGAGTAGACTCGGGCGTGTTGGGGTTGGCATGCGTGTGTTGTGTTAGACGAGGGCGTGTTGGAGTAGGCATGCGTGTTGTGGTAGACGGGCGTATTGTGGTAGACGGTGTGTTGGGTAGCATGGTGTAGACAGTGTTGTGGTAGACGGCGTGAGAGGTATGCGTGTTGTGGTAGACGGGGGTGTTGTGGTAGACGTGTGTCGGGTAGGCATGTGTGTTGTGGTAGACGGTGGTAGACGGTGTGTCGGAGTAGGCATGCGTGTTGTGGTAGCAGGCGTGTTGGAGCAGGCATGCGTGTTGTGGTAGACGGGGGTGTTGTGGTAGACAGGGGTGTTGTGGTAGCGGGCGTGTTGGAGCAGGCATGCGTGTTGTGGTAGACGGGGGTGTTGTGGTAGACGAGCATGTTGGAGTAGGCATGCGTGTTGTGGTAGACGGGCGTGCATGTTGTTTAGCTGTTGTGAGGTGAAGCACTTGCTAAAACACTGATGAACAGTTCAACAGACGTATCGGTATATTATTTTTTCAGCTCTCCAGTAAAGACTGGTATCGAGTGAAGACCCCGACACCTGGTTTCGACGAGAGCTAATTGCAAAAATTGGCCATTTGAAACACGAGTGAGAATGGTTTTAGAGGGTAGATTTTACATATCAGAAGTATGAGGAAGAGGATGATCATAAGGAGGAGGAGGTGGAGGAGGAGTAGGAGGAGGAGGAGGAGGAAGAGGCGTGCGTGCGGGAGGGAGGCAGGACGGCTGGCTGGGTGTAGGCAGGACCCACACTCACCGCGGCCCGAGTTCTTATTGATCGGCGACCAGTTATGGCGGACGGGGGCAGAGGGGGGCCATGCGGTGCTGAGGCTCGCCGGGGATATTCCTTCATTGCTGTCTAACCTGCCCCACCTAGTCATGCCCTAATGTCTGCAGAGGTGAGTGGCTTCCCCAGGCGTTAAAGTGACCACACATTAGAGGTGTATCGGCCCGCGTTTTGGTGTACTAGTGTCGAGATGCAGTCGCCTCCAAGATGAGGACACCGAGGCGGGGGTGAGGGAGAGCGAGAGAGCGAGAGAGAGCGCTGGATGCTTCACCACCACCACCACCGCTGCTGCTGCTGCTACTGCTGCTGTGCTCCTGTTCCTGCTGCTGCTGCTGCTGCTGCTGCTATTGCTCCTGCTGCACCGTCTACTCTCGCATTATCTACTGGGCCTTTCATGATGTGAAGTGCTGTGTTGTGGTGGTGGTAGTAGATGATGGTGGCGGTGATGTGATAGTAAGGACCAGTGGTGGGTGGCGGGTTGCGGCGTCCCTCCTCCCACAACATCGGCCACGGTACACCTCAAAACTGCCAGCCCAACATTCTTACCGTGAAGGCTGAAGGTTGGCGGGCTGTGTGTGCTATAAAGGAAACCCCAGTGTCTATATGAACCACAAGTGAAGGCGCGAGTGATGAAGAGCCCTCTGCTTGAGTCGGAGGAAAGCGGCAGAGTACACTGTCAGGTAAAAGACAGGTATTCAATAGAAAAAAGTAAATATTCATTGTATAATTGATCAAAGAAACATTTAAGTTTGTATATCGTGATGAGAAATGCTGAAAATCCATAAATGGAAACAGCCAATTGAATGCAGTGTGTTAGCGACCGAGTGACCCAATTTGAGCCCAGGCACCCGGATTGACACAACTTGAAGCGCCCCGCTGCGTGAGAACCCCCGAAATTGTTGCTTTCGGTGCCGGAAAAGTGTGCCACCAGTTGTTATTACACAAATGGTGACATTTCTTTTGATTTTTTCGCAATATTCGATAGGGTCGTGTAGCCACCTTGTAATGAATTCACTTCTATGAAATTGGTAAAAAAAATGAAAATTCTGTGAATACGAATGTAGGCCTTGATGTTCATTAAGTGCAAACCAGAGTTACAAAATCTGAAAATTGGAATCCAGTGGCGCGTCCTAGACTGGCGCTGAACTGACCAAATTTAATTAAAACAATTTTATTTTAATTCCCTTTCAGAATAAAAAGTACCTCATTAAAAGGCCTACAATCCTATGAACACTAAAATATAATTGGAATTAGGTCGGCAAAATTAATATGAACGTGTATGTCATCTTCATTTCCAATGTATGACATGGCAGAGGCTGACACAGACCCTACGAACTTGCTGGATGATATTTACAGCTCTCTGATCATTCCTTTGCTCAATGAACTACAGCAGCTCAGGAGCCCAACTCGAGACCAAATGCCAGCTCACGTTAGTACAAATCTGTGTTCTGTCGCCCGGCCCCTCGCTGCCCCGGCTCGGGCGAGCTGGTGTGGGGGAGGAGCAGGGCCCATCACACACCATCACACTCCAGCACGACCCGTCTCACCTCATCCTACTCTAAGGCTCTCTAGCGTTAACTTAAAATAAGGCTCGAGTCGTGCTCATCATTATAGAGTTGTAAGGCTTTTCGACTTATTCTCTCTTTAGGGTTGGAGTTGGTTTCCATCACCATCTCATACTAAGGTTGACCCATGCCCATTGCTTCATTTCTCTAAGGTTGGACATTGCCCTCACTAAGGCAAGTAGCTAGTCCCCCTCCATCCCTACGTCTAACATTTTTCACCATTCAGCTCCTGTTTTTGCTAACTTAGATCACTACTACTTATCGGTAATGCATCATAGCGTAATTTCTCACATTACTAGTTTACGTAACCTCCCTGAAATTTAGTATTGTACAGGCAAGTGGATTTTAGAAACTGAATTTTGAGTCGGTATAAATATCTTATCTAGCTGGGCTGCCGTGTGTACCCGGCACGGTCAGCCACCAGCCCTCCGACGCATGCGCAACTCAACGTTATAATCACCTTTCACACTGCAGTGCATTTCTTCGTTCTCATTATGTTATTTGTTAATAGCACCGTCCTGTTGCATTGTTCCACAGTGTGTTCTTGTGAGTGTGTTTTATTATTTCTTCCCGGCATGTAATATGCAGTAGTGTCTGTCTAGCTTAGGCTGTTGCTTGTAGATAATCTGATATGTTCTTGCAGAGTATGTATAGGGTAACGGTATATTGTTTGTGGGGATGTTGTCATCACACCACACGACAAAACACCATATTCACCACACATCATCATACTCAACTAGTACATCACACAGTACCACATTGCATCATACCACAACGCACAGAAATATTACAGTAAAAGGCAATACATCACTACACTTCACTTGCATCACCCATTTTCATGGTACTACACCAAGCTATACTGTACCACACCAGGCTATACTGTACCACACCAGGCTATACTGTACCACACCAGGCTATACTGTACCGAACCACGCTATACTGTACCACACCAAGCTATACTGTACGACACCAAGCTATACTATACCACACCAAACTATATTATACCACACCAAGCTATATTATACCACACCAAGCTATACTGTACCACACCAAGCTATACTGTACCACACCAAGCTATATTATACCACACCAAGCTATATTATACCACACCAAGCTATATTATACCACACCAAGCTATATTATACCACACCAAGCTATATTGTACCACACCAAGTTATACTGTGCCACACTAAACTATATTATATCACACCAAGCTATAATGTACTACACCTATCTATACTGTATCGCACCAATTTATAGTGTACCACACCAAGCTATATTATAACACTCCAAGCTATACTGTACCACACCAAGCTATACTGTTCCACACTAAGCTATATTACACCACACCAACCTATACTGTACCACACCAAGCTATACTGTACCACACCAAGCTATATTATAACACTCAAAGCTATACTGTACCACACCAAGCTATACTGTACCACACCAAACTATACACCACCAACCTATACTGTACCACACCAGCTATACTGTACACACCAAGCTATATTATAACACTCAAAGCTTCTGTACCACACACCATTATGCTGTACCCACAAACTATGTTATGCCACACCCATGCTGTGCCACACCAAGCTGTCTGTACCACACCAAGCTATATTATACCCAACTATGCTGTGCCACGTTAAATATGCAATGCCACACCAGGCTATGTTAATGCCACACCAAGAGCTATGCTGTTGGTATACACCAAGAGCTATGCCAGTATACACCAAGCTATGCTGTGCCACGCAGGCTATGTTATGCCCCAAGTATGCTGTTACGTTAGGCTATGCTGTGCCACACCAAGAGCTAGTATGCTTACACCAGAGCTCTGTTGCCACACCAGGCTCTGCTGTGCCACACCAAGCTATGCTGTGCCACACCAGGCTATGCTGTTGCCACGCCAGGCTCTGCTGGCACCGCACCAGGCTATGCTGTGCCACCAGGCTGTGCCACACCAAGCTCTGCTGTGCCACACCAAGCTGCTGTTGCCCACACAAGCTATGCTGTACCACACCATTATGCTGTGCACACCAGCTCTGCTGTACCACACCAAGCTCTGCTGTACCACACCAAGCTACACTGTGCCACACCAAGCTATACTGTACCACACCAAGTAATACTGTATCACACCAAGCTATACTGTACCACACCAAGCTATACTGTACCACACCAAGCTACACTGTGCCACACCAAGCTATACTGTACCACAATAAGCTATACTGTACCATACCAAGTAATACTGTATCACACCAAGTAATAATGTCCCACAACACTTTACCCGGTTTCACTGTATATCACTGTATTGCATTATGGTGTAATTTCACCACAATGCATAATGTTATACTATGTTGCACCATACAGAGACTAGTGCCGAGTAAATGCCACGGTGCACTGTAATATATATATATATATATATATATATATATATATATATATATATATATATATATATATATATATATATATATATATATATATATATATATATATATATATATATATATATATATATATATTATCCTATATCACCACATATCACATCGTACCACACCACCACACATCACAACCTATCATATTACCACACATCACATCATACCGACTTATCAAACCATACCACACTCCACCATACCAAACATGCCACACTATACACAATAATACACTTCACCATATCACACAATATACACTTCACCATATTACACAATATATACTTCACCATATCACACAATAAACACTGCTCCATACAGCACGTACTACACACACACACACACACACACACACACACACACACACACACACACATGCACTGCCTTATGCCAAACCCACTACCCCGCACACTACAATATACTTGTGATGTGTTAGTGTATAATTATGTATGTGTGTATTAATTCTGGCACGTGTTTACATTTGTATGGTATGTGTGTGATGTTTGTGTCTGTGTTTGATAATGAGCGTGTGTGTTTTTGTCATGTTTACTTCTGTCAACAATTGTTTGCATTTTTTTTTATATAAATATTTAGTCAGGAGTTCGTGCGTTCGCCTCGCAAGCAAATAGTCCTTGGTTTTATTCCCAACCAGAGTAGAGGATTGAGTTTCCTATCCCTAGTGCACTTAGTAGTAAATAAATTGTTTGTATTGAGGGCCTTTAGTGGATAGTGTTCTGCCAAGGCTGCCGGATATTAAGAATCAGGAAGGCATCACCTATCCGGCCACCAGTACTTTAGCAGGAGAGACTTGTATACGTAAAAAAATCATATATATATATATATATATATATATATATATATATATATATATATATATATATATATATATATATATATATATATATATATATAATTTCTATTGTTTAAGTGAGTATTCTTTTCTTTTAAGGTGTGTATTTTCATATTTATCGTTACTACTACTACTACGGTTGCTGCTGTTAATTCTGTTGGGTGTACATATATTTGCTGTTGTCACATCAAATAGGACTGCTTTTGTTTCTAAGATATTACTGTTTATGTTGTATTTGTGGCTCCTCGTGAAGGAGTTCTGTTATATATTTTAATAATGACTAGTAGTGGCACCGCTGTTGCTGCTACTACTACTACTGCTTCTACTACTACTACTACTACTACTGCTTCTACTACTACTACTACTACTACTGCTTCTACTAATAATACTGCTACTACTATACTACTACTACTTCTACTAATACTACTACTATTACTACTACTCGTTCTACTACTACTACTATCCGCAGCATCACCAAACTGTTCACATACCACTATTAAACCAACTTCCATACCCCCCCCCCCAAGCACACACCATTACTACTATTACCATTACTAACTTTTTTGTACCGTTCCAACAAATTGCAAAAAAAAAATTACCTTTAATTGTTATCATTAAGACACATTGGCGTGATTGTGGATGAGTTAAACTACCTGAGGGTGTCACTGTACCAGCCTGGCTCATACCACGTCCTATATAAGGATAATATCGTCAGGGGAAATTATAAACGCGACATTAACAAATTTATGAGTTATTGATAATGTTGAACTGCTTCTATCTAAAACAAATCCAACCTTCTTTTGTGTTCACTAGTCCTGTATTTAATTTTTTTT